TCTATATTCCTACCAGCAGTGTGAGGGTTTCCCATCCTCGCCCACACTTGCTATTTTCTGTGTGTTTGATGGCAGCCATCCCAGTTGCTGTGAGGTGCTATTCACCACTGCTTGCCACCCAAACAGGTGCGGTGGCTCCCTTCCTCTTCTGGGGCTGGAGCACACACAACCCACACCTCACACGTCTGTCCCAACAAGCACCTTCCCTCTGGGCAACAGTACAGTGTGGTAAAATGCTGGGGGCCCAGCCTGCCCTCCCACTGCCCAGGAGACCTGTGCCCCAGGGCGAGCCTGTCTGCCAGGCTGGGCGACGCTGCCCCTTCTCCCAGGCGGCAAGATGGACCAAGGGCTGCCTGGCCTCTAAGGAAAGACCCATCTAGGCAGATGCCCCAAAGACTTGGCCACTCCCTAGCCTGGCCCTGCCTGGGTGTGGCCCCTTGCCCCCTCCGCCTTTAAAGTCAGTGTTGTCACACAACAGTACTGCCTGGGCCCCAGGCCTTCACACAGCAGCCCCGCTATATGAGCACACTGACACCCCTTCCTGTCACCCACCAGCCACACAAGACACCAGGGTCACTGGCAAATGCTTCTAGCCTGCGGACTGCAGCAGGCCCACATCCTTGGAGGCCTGGCACATGCAGGTCACCGGCCCAGAGGGGTGGGGCACAGAGGAGGCAGGAAGCTGACACGTCCCTTCCCAGGCTCCCAGGCCAGCCCTCCCGCCCCCTGCGGGCCACATAGCCAGGCCCGAGGGTGGACCCCTGCCTACCGTACACCAGCCCGGGGTTCTGCTGCTTCAGCTCACGCACGATGTCCACCACCATGGCCAGGAACGACTTGTCCCTCGTATAACCTTCGGGGGTAGAATCCAGGTTACCCTCAGAAAACGGGAGACTCACCACGATCAACTGTGGCTCCAAGAAAGATAAGCACCAGCACACTTTGCACGGGGGAGGGGCGGGGGGAGGCGGGTGAAGGCGGGGTGTCCCCACAGTCCCAAGACACCAAGGGCAGACCCGGCCACATTCCTAACAGAAACGCTGTGCTTCAGAGGCATGAACCCCCGGCGAGAGGTGCAGGAGGAATCTATTTATAGTTCTACTCTCAGTAATAAGCACATGACACTTGAATTTCATCTTATTTATTTTGAGGCAGAGTCTCATCCTGTCCCCCAGCCCACAGTGCCATGGTTCAATCACAGCTCACTGCGGCCTTGAACCCCCAGGCTCAAGCAGTCCTCCCGCGTCAGCCTCCCAAATACCCGGGACTATGCCCAGCTAATTTATATTTTTTAAATGTTTTGTAGAGACAGGGGTCTCACTCTGTTGCCCAGGCTGGTCTTGAATGCCTTCCCTCAAGCAAGCCTCCCTCCTAGGCCTCCCAAAGCGCTGGGATTACAGGTTCAAGCCCCTGTGCCCACCTTTATGTATGACCTTTGAACATGTATAGATGCTGGGTGCAGTGGCTCACACCTGTAATTCTAACACTTTGGGAAGCTAAGACAGGTGGATCACTTGAGCCCAGGAGTTCAAGACCAGCCTGGGCAACATGGCAAAGCCCTGTCTCTACAAAAAACAAAAAGTTAGCTGGGCACTGTGGTGCACACCTTTAGTCCCAGCTACTTGGGAGGTTGAGGTGGAAGGATCACCTAAGCCCAGGAGGTTGAGGCTGCAGTGAGCTGTGATTGTACCACTGCACTCCAGCCTGGGCCACAGAGTGAGACGCTGTGTCACAAAAATAAAATATAAATACGAGGCCGGGCGCGGTGGCTCACGCCTGTAATCCCAGCACTTTGGGAAGCTGAGGCGGGTAGATCACGAGGTCAAGAGATCGAGACCATCCTGGTCAACATGGTGAAACCCCATCTCTACTAAAACTACAAAAAATTAGCTGGGCATGGTGGCGCGTGCCTGTAGTCCCAGCTACTCAGGAGGCTGAGGCAGGAGAATTGCCTGAACCCAGGAGGCGGAGGTTGTGGTGAGCCGAGATCATGCCATTGCACTCCAGCCTGGGTAACAAGAGCGAAACTCCGTCTCCAAAAAATAAAATAAAATAAAATATAAATACGTATAGAAATACAATTTTTCTTTTTTTTGAAATGGAGTCTTACTCTGTCGCCCAGGCTGGAGTGCAGTGGGGTAACCTCAGCTCACTGCAACCTCTACCTCCTGGGTTCAAGCAATTCTCCTGCCTCAGCCTCCCGAGTAGCTGGGACTACAGGCTCGCAACACCACACCTGGCTAGTATTTGTCATTTTAGCAGAGACGGGGTTTCATCATGTTGGCCAGGATGAGCTAGAACTCCTGACCTCTGATTGGCCCACTTTGGCCTCCCAAAGTGTTGGGATTACAGGCGTGAGCCACCACGCCTGGCCTGAAATACAATTTGTTTTTAACCAGAAAGCTGACAAAGGATGCCAGTGTACTAGGTAACGGCCCGTCACCTACCTGAGTGTCCCACCCCACTGCCCTTCCCCGGGCAGTGCTCCCAACATCCCGCCTGCACCCTCCCCTGGGCACTGGAACCCCAGTGTGGCCACAGGAGGAGAGGTGACTTGGCATTGCCAGGGCAGTCATTGCCCAGGCAGGCACAGCGTGGCCAGGACCAACTCCTACCCTCAAGCAAGCCTCCCTCCTAGGCTTCTCAAAGTGCTGAGATTACAGATTCGATCCCCGTGCCCACCCTTACATATGACCTTTGAACACGTATAGGTCATGTTCACGCCAAGGCCCTCTTTGAAGGAGCAGGGATGGGAGATGGGCCAGGTGGGGGTGCTCTGGGCCTCCCTGGCTGGAGTGGGGTCTGCAGGCCGTTGCGGCAGCTCGCGCCAGCACCCACCTGTGAGCACGTAGTCATATTTATTCACGTTGTTCAGCTTCAGGCCCTCGTACAACTCCTGGAGCTCATCTGAATTCAGCACTTGGCCCTTCCAGTGGGCATAGCCTAGCGGCAGAGAAACCATGGGGACTTAGACACAAGGGGACCAGGCGTGGGTCGGGCTTCCCTCCCCATCCGCCCACTCTCCCTGAGGCCCCTGGTGGATGGCTTCTCCCCAGGGACTGGCACAAGGCCTGAAGATCACCAGGCACAGTGCTTGGCAGGTCCCGACAGCCGTCCACACGGGACGCCCCCTGCAAGCCCCCTGCCCCTATGCTGTCAGGGATCGTTGCTATTACCTCAGTGGCTCCCACCCTCCCACTGCCAGTTCCTCTGGGCGCTCAGCTCCCCAGACCCGTGACACCTGTGGGTGTTGCTTCCCAGGTACAGGCGGGGCATGGGGAGGGACACAGCAGCCCACAGCTGTGTCACTCCTGCATCTCTGTCCGGGGGGGCCCGGCCCCGCCCTCCCTGCAACATCACAGCCTCGTTTCCCAGCATCTCCCGCATGAGCTCCCAGCTATTCAGGCCGGTGTGCTCGGCCGCCTCCACCACTAGGACACCCTGGCAGGTAGGGCTTGTCACGTCCCCACCTCCCCACTCCTCCCCCACAGGCTTAGTAAGCTGCAATTGGAGCCAGTCATAGATCAGCTCCTGAGCAAGAGACAAACAGGAATGAGAAGGAGGCCTCAGCCCAGGTGTGCAGCCTGCCCTCAGCCCCGCAGGCACCCAGGGTGAAGTGACTGCCCCAGTGGACAGGCATGTCAGTGCGTGGGGACGGACGCGCTGCTTCCTGCAGGCAGGACCGCCGGCCTCCTGGGAGCCCTTCCCACATCGTGGGATCCGACCACAGCTCCAGGTCAAAGCACCACTCAGCCATCCACAATGGAAGGCCCACCATGGATACCCCACATTTGCCCATGAGAAACAGCTCACACTGAGGGACTCCTGAGCTCCTCCCGCGTGAGTAATCCCTCTATGCACGTCTTTTTCAGCAGACAAGGAAAACTGAGGCGTGGGTTCCTAGAGCAGCCAAGTGCAAGTGTCACGCACGGGTCGGTCACGGCTGGCTCCGAGCCCACACGCCAGGCCATGGCCAAGATTGCTTGAATTCCCACACCAGAGGAGGGCTCCACAGCACAGCCCCCAAGGACCCTCCTGTGTACCAGTCGCTGGCTTCCACTGGAAGGGACGCCTTTGGCTCTCCCCAGGAGCTGTTGCGCAGGGGCATGTGTGGCGTGAATGTCCTTAGCCTGCAGTCAGAAGCAACACTCTGTGGCTGGGCATGGTGGCTCATGCCTGTAATCCCAGCACTTTGGGAGGCTGAAGCCGTCAAATTACAAGGTCCAGAGTTCAAGACCAGCCTGACCAACATGGTAAAATGCCGTCTCTACTAAAAACACAAAAATTAGCTGGGCATGGTGGCACACGCCTATAATTCCAGCTACTTGGGAGTCTGAGGCAGGAGAATTGCTTGAAGCCGGGAGGTGGATGTTGCAGTGAGCCAAGATGGTGCCACTGTGCTCCAGCCTGGGTAACAGAGTGAGACTCCACTGCAAAAAAGAAAAAGCAGCAGCAATGCTCCAGGCACAGTGTGGCCTCCGGGATGTGCAGCTGGGGCGCCTGCCCTGTACTCTGCTCGGAACACCAGCGTGTATGCACTGAGGGGTAGGTCTGCCAGAGGCCGAGCCCCTGATGGACTCCGGGTTAACAGTCACTTGGGGTCAGGAGGGTCAGGCGTATCCACCATGGGTGAGGTCAGTGCCTCACATGGCAGCCTGCCCCTCTGGTGTGGGGTGTGTCCTGGGGAGGCTTCTGCCAGGCAGGGGCAGGGTTTGGGGTGAATGGGGGGCTGTGGAGGGGCAGGAGGAGGGAGGCAAGCAATGGTCCCTCCCGGTCCTTTCTGCTCTGGGATTCTGAGCATTTCCCAAGCAGGGTGGGGCTCAACATGGCTGCACACGTGCTGCTTTCCTGGGGAGGTGATATGGCCTGGCTGTGTCCCCACCCAAATATCATCTTGAATTGTAGCTCACATGTCGTGGGAGGGACCTGGTGGGAGGTCATTCAGTCATGGTGCCGTTTCCCCCATCCTGTTCTTGTGATGGTGAGTGAGTTCTCACAAGAGCTGACGGTTTTATAAGGGGGTTTCAAAACCCTGGGCCCCCCCACTCTGCACTTCTTGCCTCTGCCATGTGAAGAAGGATGTGTTTGCTTCCCCTTCGGCCACAGCAGTAAGTTTGCTGAGGCCTCCCCAGCCCTGCTGAATTGTGAGTCAAGTAAACCTTCTTCCTTTGTAAATGACCCCGTCTCGGATATGAACTTATTAGCAGTGTGAGAATGGACTAATACAGGGTTCCATTGGGAAGGACCGCGGCCAGGCGGTTCCAGTGACAGACACTGATTCTCCTACTCCTGGGCACTGGGGTCCAAGGTCATGGCATCTCCAGGGCCGGTCCTTGAGGACCCTCCCCTGGGCTTCAGACAGCAACGCCTGTGTCCTTATGGGGCTGTCCCTGTGTGTGTCCGTGTCCTCATCTCTTCTCACAAGGATGCTGATCAGGCTGAATTAGGGCCCACCCTGACAGCCTCTTTTAACCTGGTGACCTCTATAAAGGCCCCATCTCCAAATCCAGTCCATTCTGAGGTGCTGGGGTAAGGCTGCAACATGAGAATTTGGGGGGACACAATTCAGCCATAACAGCCGTGAGGATGGGGAGATGTCCAGCCCTTGCCAGGTCTCAGACGCAGGCCCCAGGTCCCTCTGAGGCCCAGCTTCCTGTTGGAACAAGGGGGCATGGTCTCGCACTCCAGGGTGCCCCCTGCCCACTGCAGGACATGGTACCGGCCCAGAGCCCACAAGAACCTTCTCGAACAGGGGAGGGCACTTGGCTCCCCTGTCCAACTCATTCCACTTACAGATGAAAAAACAGACGCCAAATAAGTGGCTCCTTGGGAAGTCCAAGGGGCCTGGCACGCCTGTCCGACCCTAGCTGGCCAGGGAGTCTGGGTCGGCCCCTCCCCTCGCTGCTGCCCATCGGCAGGTGCCTGGTCCTGGTCCCTCGCTGCTGCCCATTGGCAGGCGCCCGGTCCTAGCCCTCTCCAGCCCTGCAGCTCCTGTGTTCTCAGCAGCCTCCTCTTCCCTGCAGCAAGGACCACCAAGCCCAGCAGCAGGTCGCCTGTCCCACCCTCTCTGGCTCCACGCTCCAAAAGCCAGGACGTGTGACCCGCCCACCTGCTGACCTCTAGCTCTGCAAGCTCCTTCCTGATGCCCTCAGGCCAGGAAGCTCAGACAGGAAGCTCCAGGAAACCCTCTTGAAGGGGCCACTGGGAATGCTGGCCGCAAGGTGGAGGCTGCCAAGCCCGGCTGTCCTGGGTTTGGGGGCACAGCTCAGAGTGTGGAAAAATGAATGGTGGCCTTGAGGAATGGGGGCTTAGCCAGGGGAGGGTGCAGGAGCACGAGTAGCAGCCCTGAGGTGGCAAGGCCTGCACCAGGTGGGCTCTGCAGGCAGCTCGGGGCTCAGCTTCCCCCCGCCCCGACGGGTATCAGGGAACCAACAACGTGGCTTACGTGGAATACCTGTGTCCACTGGCAGTCTGGCTTTGTGGCCATCCCAGGCAAAAGCTGCCCACGTAACCACCCAGTTACAACCCTGGGCCCACGGTGGGCACATGGTGCACACCTGCAGTCCCAGCCACTCGTGAGGCAGAGGAGGCAGGAGGATCGCTTCAGCCCAGGAGGTCAAGGCTGTGGTGAGCTGACTGCACCACTGCAGGCCAGCCTGGGCAACAGAGAGACCTCATCTCTAAAAAAGAGAAAGGAAAAGACTGGGGCGTGGAGTCTCACGCCTGTGAACCCTGCACTGTGAGAGGCTGAGGGGGCAGGATCGCTTGAGCCCAAGGAGTTCGAGACCAGCCTGGGCAACATAGTGAGACTCCATCTCTATGAAAAACAGGAAAATTAGCCAAGTGTGGTGGTGCACACCTGTAGACCCAGCCCCTTGAGAGGCTGAGGAGGGAGGATCTCTTGAGCTTGGGATGTCAAGGCTGCAGTGAGCCATGATCACACGACTGCACTCCTGCGTGGATGACAGAGACCTTGACACACACACACACACACACACACACACAAGAAAAAAGAAAACCCTTGGCAGAGTCGCTAACGAGCTCCCTGGCAGCGTCATCCCAGCTCCCTGCCAAATGAGGCGCAGCCTGTGTGACCCCACCTCCAACACCTAGGTGTGCACTGGAGAACTGAAAACACATCCCCCCAAAAACTGTCTAGACAAACGTTCATGGCAGCATGACCCCCAACAGCCAGAAAGTGGGAACAACCCGGTGTCCGCAGGGCTGCCTGTGGCTGAGCTCATGTGGCTGGTCACGCAGGGCATGAGCTTCGTCCTGGGCATACACGAAGGGCCATGCAGCAGGAAGACATGGCAACGCGGCCCTCAGATGGCCCGGGCAGCGTGGCCCTGGAGCAAGGGTGCCCGGAGCAGAACAGTCCCCACAATGCGCGAGGCACATGGCGTGTGCGGAAGTCTTTCTTGTGCATAATCAGGACCAGTGAAATGCTTCCTGGAGGTGATGTTGGTGAAAAATAAGCACCTCTAGCCAGTGGGCAGGGGTGGGGGAAAGGAAAAACAACCAAAAACCCAAAAAACAAAAAGCACCTCCAGCTCCGTGAAGGTCTCACAGTGGGCGGCACGAGAGCCTAGGGGGGCCGAGGGGCTGCATGGAGGTGGTCAAGTGCCCCATCCTGACCACCAGCTCCCGCGGTACCCAGAGCAGGTGCCCGGCGTACCAGCCTCACTCCCTGGCAGCACAGTGTGGGCGGGGCGGGGAAGGGAGCAGGCAGAAGGCGCCAGGACAGGGGCGAGTGATGCCCGCTGGCAGTGCCCTAGGGAGCTGCCCCTGAGCCACGGAGGCGGCCTTGGGGAAGCTACCCGGGGCCTCCTGATCAGGCTGCACAGACAGCTGACCCCGAGAGTGTGGGTACAGGGTGCTGGGAGCCTGAACCAGCAGGCCCGCCATGGCATCTGGAGGAGGCTGCAGTGGGGGCTCCCAGGAACCAGAGGCTGGGCCCCATGGGAAGGGAAGTCCCCAAGCCGGTTGTCTGGCACTGCACCTGCAGAGGCTCCCAAGTGCCTGGGGTCCTGTCGTCATCCCAGCACTCTGAGGGCAGGCCAGAGACCCCTTTCTGTCTCAGAGTCCTCAGGTCAGCCAGCCCAGCACCCACTGAGAAGCTTCCAGCATGCCTGGAAGGCATCACCAAAGCCTGGGGCCCTTCCCGCATCCTGGAATCCACGCCAGGGTCTATGCGGGTGTTGACCCAATGCTGACGGAGGACAACACCGTCCCCAGAAACACACTCAACACCCTGCTTTACTGTCCAAGCCAGCCAGCTCGCCCACTGAAAACTCAATCCTACGGGAGGGTGGCGAGCAGCCAGGACGAACGTGTGGGCCCGGGGAGGCTCCCGGAGGCCCGAGGCTTTGGGACAATCTCCGTATTTCGCAGCCCCAGTGTGCCCGGCAAGCAAAGGCAGGAGAGGGTTTTGGCAGGGCTGGAGCCTGTCCACCTGGGCCAGCCGAGCAGCTCTTTCCTCACTCAGCACGTGTCATGCCCGCCCCAAGAGAAATCACGGCATTCCTTCCTGCTCCCAAGGGTGGGGCCAGGCCCCCCCACATCCTGTCAATGCTGTTTCTGGGACATTCTGTGCTCCCAAGATTCCGTCTGGGTTCAAAGAAATTTCAGAGGAAGCAACGTGGGGTGTTTCAAAGAACCAAGTGGCTTTGTTCTCCTGCCAACGAAGCAGTCCAGGGACCACAGAGAGGAGGGAGGACTCCACGAGCCTCCACCTCCAGGCCATGGGGCTGGGTTGTGGGCAGCACGGCCCGGGACGTTGTGAGGGGCTTCCGAGGCCGGCCACCCTCAGTGCCCTGAGCCTGCAAAGTCCTAGGCGTCCCTATGCACGGAGACAGACGCACACACGAGCCAGGCCTCGGTCCAAGCGCTTCAAGCCATTGACCTAATCAACTCTGGCAACCCCACAGCCGGTGTTAGGATCGCTCTCCCGTTTTACAGAGGGGAAACCGAGGCGCCAAGAGGTTCTGCCACCTGCACTGGGTCACACGCCCCAAGGCAGTGAAGCTGAGTCAACACACCCCTACTCAGAGGCGAGGCCACCCAGGTCTATGCCCTGACGTGCTGTGCAGGCTCGGCCGAGCGACACCAGGGATGCCAGTTCCCGTCCACACGAAAGCCCCACCCCAACCCCCTCTGCTCTGCGCCAGCCGCTGGAGCCGACGCCTTACCTGTGTGGTTTGAAAACTGGACAGAGTTCACCGCGTCGATCTCAAATCCCAAAACCTGCAAGGCAGAGAAGGAACAGGAAGGTCCTGTGAACCCCAGCAGGCGCTGACTTGGACGAGGGGAGTCAATGAGCCCCAGCGGGCACAGGGCCCCCGGGCGCAGGCCGGAGGGCCGACGAATCGGAGCAGAAGGCTCTCCACGAGTCGCACGTGAAATCTGCGTGTGCAGGGCCTTGAATGTCTGCAGCGGGGCTTACCTCGATGGGGAGCAACCAGCCTGGGAGGCCATTGCCCAGCCTGCAGGACCTCCATGGAGAAACACATCACGGATCATTCGAGAAATCCCATCCAATGAAAGCGCTTAATAAGACTAATAAATTAAACAATAAAACAAAGGCAATGCCCGTCTGTCCACACACCTTGGGGGAACAGGAGCTGGGAGGCCGTCTCTGCCGTGAAAATGCGGGCGTCTACCCCACCCCCTTGGAGGAAGCCAGGCCAAGGGCCCTGTGGGCTGCACGGCTGACCCCTCTTCCCAGGACATGATGCTCAAAAGCCTGAGACAGGGAGTGAGTGTGTGAGGACAGAGAGGGAGGGAGTGGGTGAGGGTTCGAGACAGCCGGAGCGGTGGCCTCCTTCCCTATCTCCAGGGGCGATCCCTGCCCTCTCCCGTGCACCAGCAAAGCCCAAACCCTCTCTCCCTGTTTCATCTGAACAGCCAACCATCCTTGAGTTCCACCTTCACGTTCAAAGCCAGGTAGCCCCAGCTCTGGTATCAGCAACCAGGAGAGCGGCTGTTTCCAGGGCAGGGGGTGGCAGGCGATGGGAGGGGCTTTCAGGCTTCTCAAATTTGTTTCTCCACTGGGTGGGATTTGCTTTGTGATAATCAGTTGAGCTATCTGCTTAGGATTTGTATTTACCAGCGTCTTTCTTTGAAGCAGGTATTACCACTAAACAAATGAAATACATGTTAGCAGTCTTATTAATCTAAAAAGTTAAAATTAGCACTTTGCGGCCAGGCACGGTGGCTCATGCCTGTAATTCCAGCACTTTAGGAGGCTGAGGTGGGAGGACAGCTTGAGGCCCGGAGTTCAAGACCAGCCTGGGCAACATGGCAAAACCCTGCCTCTACAAACAATACAGAAATCAGCCAGGCGTGCTGGCACACACCGGAAGTCCCAGCTACTCGGGAGGCTGAGATGGGAGGATCAATGAGCCTGGGAGGTGGAGGCTGCAGTGAGCTGTGACCGCACCACTGCACTCTAGCCTGCGCAACAGAGTGAGACCCTGTCTCAAAAAAACATAAAAATAAAAAATAAAACTGGCACTTTGCAAATGTACCAGCCTGATTCCACAGCCTCTATACACAAAGAGCTTGCAGTATTTCAAATCCTTTAAAATTCTAACCAGCTCTAAAGAAACACATATTAAGCCATGATGACACAAATCCTAAAAATCCTGCCAAAATATTCTGCTCCACCGCTTCTGGGCGTGTAATTAATCCTGTGGGGCTGGCAAACGTATCCGAGAATGAAGTCGCTATTTTCTGCTTTTAAATGAGAGCACGAGTGAGCTGAGCCCCTGGGCTAGCATCTCCATTGCATACACCCCACCAAAATCAGCTTATTCATCAGCATCACAAGCCCGTCTGGACGCTTCCAGAGTCTACCCAGCCAACTGCATGCGCAAGACAAAGCCACACTCAGAAGATGAGGACGCGTGGGGGGCGGGGTGCCGAGGTCCAGGACGGGAGCCCGGGACCCCAGAGAAAGGCGTCCTGCTGTTACGATTGTCCTTCAGCTGGAAACCGCCACTCTGTGCCAGACCGTGCCTCTGGAACTCACATCTCTGCACGGCAGTGGCTCCCTCCCAGGCACAGCCAGGAGGGACCACAGCGTGAAACTGAAGCCTGTGAAGAGAACGGGCTTCTGCCGACCACCTCTTCCTCCCCCCGCCCCGGCTCTTCTCTCCCCAGGGGCAGGGCAGGGGCAGTGACCGTTCCTTCCCAGAGCAGCAGCAGAATCCACTTTGTGGCTTTCCCACCCCCGCAGAATTACTCATCACACACCCCACAGACCCCCAGCACCCGGCCGCTGGCAGACACCCGCCTTCCCAGCTCCGAGTTCTAAAGAGCCCAGCTCTCCTCTCTTATCCCAGGGTCGGCTGCATGGAGCCGGTGCTGGCAGGGGTCTCCTCCATGACACCTGTGTTCCCTTTTTGCCTTTCTGTTTCTCAATACCTGGTGGAACAACTGCCTCTACAATCGTTGCTCTGGTTTCTGTTTCTGGACTGGACCCTGCCCGATACACCTCATCTTTCCCCACCCCCAAGGGAGCCAGGGACAGACTGATTCTTGGTCCAGGGTTCAACACGGCAGGCAGCTGGGCTCTCCACAACGCTCACCACTCGTCCGGAGCGCGGGCCCCAGTCTGGCTCCTCCACAGCCTTCCAGGGATCGCCTTAAACAGGGACAGGCCAGTGCCCTGTGAGCAGCCCTGCTGAACGGTGGGATCAGCTTGGGCCCTTTAGGGGCAGCAGGGCTGATCTGTGTATGTGACTCACATTGTTTTACAGTAAACCCTGTCCCTCCAATGGCCTGTGGGGTTCTGCGGTGGCAGAGTTC